ATAAAACGTTTGAACATTTAATTCTTTTAATGTTACGTTAAACGATTTTTGCCTTCATAAAGGCTTTGCGAGCTCTACGAGCCAACTTCTTCAAATTCAAACTTGGTTAAAATTTGCTGTATTTAACTGGCTAAATAACTTCTTATTTCATATAATACTCTATTATTTCACATTCAATGTAAATATTTCTGTATTGGCACAGCATGTCAGGTTAAGTAATTCACAATAAAAATAAAAAATGCCGACAATTTGGATGATTTTAGCGTGATTTTTAAACCTGTTTACCCTGCGAACGTGTGCCATACTGTCTTCATTGTTTAGAACTATCATGCAATATAAATAAATTACCTTTTAAATAACTAATCATGCTTGCGATGCTGTAGGCATTAATGCCTTATAACCTTCTACTACATCGTACTCGGTTAGATTCACTAGATACTGGTATTTTAAGAAGTTTTCCAGTACTTCCTCTCCACCAGTGACCGCGCTGTGGGCCTGGGTACGAGCAATGTCAATCACTGCATGGGCGCGTTCCGTCTCTAGCCAATCACCAGCCGACAATTCCAAACAGGTTTCWTCTAAGTCCTCTGGTCCAAACATAAAAGCTTGCAAAAGTTTCAGGGCATCTCTGGGGAGCATGCGCAGTGAAGGTTCGCGCTGTAAGAGKCCTGAGGCAAGAGCGGCAAGTCCACTAGTGAACCGAGATACATCTGAGAGAACYGGTAGGTCTAGAATAGTGTAGTCACGTGTTAGAAGACTRGGGTCGGCTGCAAACGGGTTAGYTTGATGTAGGAGTTCATATATTAAGCAACCAGCAGAAAAGGAATCGCATTTCTCGAAGTCCATTACTTTGCCGTCAYTGAAWGCCTTTTGAATTTCAGGGGGGATCCTGTTTGGGTCTCCTCCYATTGTATTTCCTATACTATCTTTGGTGTAGTGGAACTGTGAAGATGAGTTGTCTSCCCCGGAGTTTTGCAGCATGTGACTAAAGTTMGAGACAATAAGGTGACCATAATCGAGTAGTAGTAAGTTGCTAGGTAACAGGGCCCTATGAACCAAGCCTTCCTGGTGTAGATGATCRAGAGCACTAAGCACTTGCAGCATTAAGATACATACTTTACGTTCATATTCATCCGGAAGCTCCAGATGTTCCCTGGCAGTTCGTTCCTGGAATTCCTGGACAGTCTCTACGGGTAGTTGGTCAGTAATTGTTACTAACGTCTCAAAGTTCGAAGGTGATTTGAYGCCAAAAAGGTCAGCAGGAAGGTGATCGGTAAAGTGGGTGATGGTCCGTGAAACGTTAGCGTGAAATGGAAGCGATACAGTGGTGGCCATGTCTTGCATGAATGCAGTACGTTGAGACATGTCCTCAGTTACAGACTTGGGAATCTTAACCTGGAAAAACAACCAAAAATCATGTACACTTTTAAGTGTATTAAAAGTCTTGTATTACTTTGCTTTGAGTTTGGGTCAGTTTTTGAACTTTTGAGACGTCGATAATGAAAAAAATCAATAAAGGGTGTTTGCTTCCCATTCTTTCCCATGAATCACCACTCACAAAAAATAACAATTCAGGCTATTTAGTAATGATCTAGCTAGTAGGGCAGCAGGACTTACCTTGGCCAACAGAACTAGTTCTTCATCAACCCGTGGAACAACAACTGGTACTAATACAGCACCTGGACTTGYAATAGTCAGGGGGGGACCACACACTTCATAATCATTCCATCTTGTGTTTGATATGTCAATAGTATCACCTGGTAATAGTTGTTCTTTGCTGCTATCTATCATGTCTTGTAATGTTTGTCGATGTAGTTCAAGTATCTTATCATATCGTTTCCTCATTGTATTTTCTTGTGTAGAGCTGCTTCTTGTTCGACCAATAGACTCTCCTCGACTTTTTACTATTAAGCTCTGAGACCGAGTTCTAAAGTCATCATGAGTGCTGGGAGGTCTTGAGGGATGCTTAGGTTTRCTACCGTTAACAACAGTTGGAGCTACACCAGCAACAGGGCGACTAGTCTCGTTGAATCTAAAATGCACATGTCTTGATCGTGGAACTTGAGGAAGAGGACCTAACTTTTCTTGTTCGACTCTCGTTAAAGTYTCTGCAAGGATCTTTGCATCGTTTAGATTCGCTAAAGCGGCTTCAACCTTCAGTGTTAAATCCCCGGTACAGGGCTCCAAGTATGCCGGGGATTCCAATCCTTGACTTTGATTATTYAGGCTCTGTTTCACTTCTGGTTTAACTTGTAAAACCGGTTTTACTTTAGCCTGTCTGTCTGGTTTGACAGGTTTTTCCACATGGCTTTTTGAGAAAGGGAAGTTCTGATAGGGACGACCTGGTTTACTACTKGGCAAWGGAACTGTATCATCGTTAGACTCGCTGCTAGTACTTCTATTAGGTGATTCCTGTTCTTGTTGTTCTTCGATGGTGCTTGCTCGCTTTCTTTCTTTAATTGACGTGCAAACTGCRGAGTCGTCCCCAGTCTCTGTACTATCGCTTTCTTCGCTCATAATCACTGGACTGCTAATGTCAAGTTTTCTYTTATTTTTCCTGCGGCCACTCAACCGTTTCCACGASGAAAGAGCTCTCTTGATGGTCGACCTGCCTTGACTCTTAGCATGCTGAAGAGTACCTTTAGAGTGTGATGGCTGCTCAACTCTYGAGGGGGAGGGGGTTGGGGTAGTTTGTGGGGATTCTTTGCGTGGATCGGTGGGCGTTGGTGATCTGGTGCCGTGTTGACTTGTGTTGACCGCTGAAATTACACAGACAAATGGAAAGATTGTGAATGGATGAAAGAATGAGAAAATGAAAGAGTGAAAAAAGGGAAGAATAAATACATGGATTGTCAGGCGAATAAATGTATAGAAAGACAGATGGACAAATGAATAAATAAGAAATAAATGAGTGATTAAACAGAATAGAGTAAGAAAAGAAAAAAATGAATCAAAAGAATAAACAAATAGAAAAATAAATGAATAGTGAAAATGCAGCACAAAAATGATAAATATAAGAGTAAATAATCGTTCAATATCAGTTACAACAGTCTACATAATCAAACGTATTTAACTACACAAAATAACGAGTCGTGTTTAGTGAAGACGTTYGGTGCCTTACCTAGAAGCGGTGGTGGTGGAGCGCTACGTTTGGGTTTGATAGTCGTGTCCTTTTGATCAAGCGATACATTGCTTTCTTTACGCTCAGGTGAGGACCGAACATGATTGTCTGTGGGGGAGGTGGGTGGGGATACTTCGGTCACAGGTTTTCGTGACGGTATAGAACTCGTGGAGGGTGGTCTGGGGGCCTCTGTGTTWGTCGGTCGAGTAACAACTGCGCATGTATAAACAAAAAATGAAGCTCTTAGCACAGCAACAAACAAAACAAATTTATCAATAAATACTTATGACAGCAGATTCTATAAACTTAAAATTGCAAAAAAAAGCATTGTTTTTAGACCAAAATATTTATACAGCTTAAATTTAAGATGCCTTGGTTATCAATTTTTAACTGTTAAGAAAGACAAATGAATATTATGAAAAGAAAACTTAATGTTCAAACGAGCAGTAATGTTAGTTATGATGATGTAAAATGCTGGGATGAAATGTTTTAGGATGTGGTTTCCCAATGTGTAATTTCCTGTCTTAATGTAGAGCAATTGACACAACATAATGGCTATGAATAGGAATAACTACATGTGCTGCACTTAGACATAATAACATAAGATATCAAATGCCAAAGCAGTGTCTATATTTTATGATAATGGGTACAAGTGTTAGAAATGTTATAGGTTGCTGGTTTTAACACACTAGTGCAAACTTTGGTCTTATAAAACTCATTAATATTCATAAGGCAAAACACAATAGAAATCATAGCCCATGAAGAGAGTTGTATATTACATACAGATTTCTTRTTMATTTRCATAAAMKTTTACTCTGATTTTCTCAGTCAGATTGAATTTTTTTTCAAAAGTTTCTTTAAAACCTGAGCTAATTTACCTTAACGTTTCATAAGTAATATACAATATTCGCGTGCGATCTGTATGAGGATTTAAAACAGCTCGCTGTTTTAAATCCTCATACAGATCGCCCGCTCATATTGTATATATTACATACAGTTGTAAATCAAAAAACATTTGATCACATGAATTGATCTGTATTCTGAGTACTTAACAACCTTGAATGGTGCTTAAGCCAAAAGCTTGGTTAGTGRTAAAAACCTTATTTTGGTGGAAGAAGCATGATATGTATTTATAAAGGAATACCTTTGTACAAAGAAATTCTAAACATTGTTCTGTAATTATTGCATGAAAGGATTGATGAATGAAAAATAGCAATATATCAATCAATCAATCAATCAATCAATCAGTCAGTCAGACGGTAAGTCGACCAATCAACCAATCAATCAATCACCTGATCAATCAATAAATCACCCAATTAATCAATCCATTAATCAAATAGTCTATATTAATCAATTATTACTCAGTCCATGTACCAAAATCAAAATTATTAATAATATCAATAATATTCTATAAATATATATGTAAGACAACGAGTCTTTTTTTCACAAGATGACTAATTCCACTACAGCACTTTGTATGCATTAGCTTCATGTTATAAAGATAACTAACACTACACCCTTTTATCCTTCCTCTTATCTTGTGAGTAATAATAAACACACTAAAAGGTTAAGCTTAGATGTCTATCTCAAGCAACACACCTAATGTAAAGATAAAATGGATGTGTATTGTACACTGCAAAGACAATGTAGTAATAGAGTTATTAATAGGTGACAAAAATATGTAATGTAATGCATATTAGGTATAAAAATAATCATACAAATAATAGGACAAAATAAAATAACAGTCCAAGGTAAAATATTGAAAAGATATCATATGAAAACATTGTTGCTGGGATATTTTCAGTTCATGGTTAATCTAAAGTTAATTAATTTTGAAAAAGATATTTTCGTCGTCCTAGACAAATGAATAATGTAGCTAATCCTATGCAGATTCAAATTCAGCTCTTGATATTTGATATGGTTTGGCATAGGTGTCTACTTAGTGTGTTATGACAGAACATGGATATATATGAATTACTTGGATCAAGTCATGTCATAGATTCTTATCGGTTATTGCCAAAATCTACAGCTTTGAAATGATAAAAATATAATTCCCTCAACTACTTTGATAAAAAATTAATATCTTGAAAAGATTCAATTGGATGGTTCAACAAAAGTCATGATTTCATAAATACATTTATAACCGTAAATCACAAAAGACAATAATTCAATCATTATTACAAACTCTGGTGCCAAAATAACTGAAAAAGGATCTGATATCTCTGGTTTTAAGTAGACAATCTGAATCAGTGTCAAAGTTCTTACATGTGATACAAATGGCACAGTCATGCTAAGTGTATAGCCAGCAACTGTGTCTTAATGTTAAGATTTACATAGCTTTGTGACTTAAACTAACTGCTGTTTCCTCCATAAAAAGAAAGAAACTTGGTTCAATTACATATGACTTAAAGAAAGACATCCATAAAATATCAATTGCAAGTGTAAACAAAAATTATGAAGTTCTCTATAACCAGCTAAACCGATGTGAATCAAACAAGTAGCTCTCAACCTTCGTAATATGGACCGCAAGCCCTGACTGGTCCATAACAGTGCTTTACTTTACCACAAAATGTATGCTCTTGATAAAAAACATATTCTTATGATATAAATGCAATTAAGCATGGACTGCCTGTGGTTTATTGATGAAGAAAAGCACTTTTTTATAGCCTCTCTAGATTTTCTTCTCTGCATGCTATAATTCACCAATGAACCATGGCAAACCATTCTATTAAATGAACAATAACATAACCAACCTTGTGAGACTGGTCGAATGGATTGTTCTTTGACATCAAGTCCTGGTTTAGTTGATCTTGGTAGTGGTCTRGGTAGAGTAGAGCTGCTGTATGATGACCGTGGACGAGGTACAGGCATAGATTTGAGAGAAGATGGTACAGTAGCATCTTTCTTTATAATTACGGGTGGTGGCGGTGGTTCTGTATTCAAGGGGGTTAACTTCTTGTAGTCAGGTACAATGTCATCAGGAGGCTCATAGTAATAATGGTCAGGTCCTGATGTCTCCTTTTGTCGGTCTTTTTCCTTAGGAGGTAGAGGTGGTATATTGGCATTATCCCCCTCATTCTCATGGACTAATACTCCTCCGCTAATGTCGACTACCTTATAAGGTTTGGTTTGTGGTTTGACCGATGAGTTAGTATACTCAGGACCTTCTACCAGCTTGGTAACATCAGGGTTTGAATGCCTTTTCATGCCTTGGTCGTTGATAATAGGTTCAATTGTTGTCGACATTGCAGTATTTTCTGCTGTAGCATCACAATTACTTTCAATGGATTGAGATGAGCTACCACTTGATTCTACAATGATGTCTTCAAATATTGATGAAGCCCTTATCTCTTCAATGTCAACTTGCACTCTGAAAGCAATGCTTTCTGGTCGGTCTGATGGAGAAGTGATACTCGTAGGGAACTTACTCAGCGATTTTTCGGAACTAGTCGAGTTGGAGCGATCTTTTTCTACGCTGGATTGGTTTTCATAATATGGTTCTGAGTTTAAAGACTCTTTTTCACATTTAAGGCTGTTTTTCGCTTCACTGCCCAAGTTTGACGGACTGGAGGATGAAATCTCACTAATATTATTAAACCTTTCATCACTGTCTTGTTTATTTGTGTTGCCCATAGTGTCATTTTTATTTTTATTCCCCTCAGACTTGTCATCTCTCTTGCTAGAGTTTGGAGATGTAATCTTTATGCCTTCGACCCTGACATCTTGAGAATTATTCAGATTACAAACTTCTTGACAAACATTATTGTTCATAGGCATGTACTCAGCGTCTGTCCCTTCAGACGTAGTGGGTCCAGGGTCCTTAGTTTGCCTGTTCTTTGCATTGTTCGTGCTAATCGGTTCGTCCTTGGGCTCGCCTTCCATTGTCGAAATGTCGCTGTCTTTTGATGGAAATTTCCTACCGGATTTTATCTGTTTTGAATGAGACTTAGCTGAATTTCCTGAAAATATGTCTGGACTAGCAATATTTGATTTAATGGCCTTATTCGTTGTCCCGCTCACTCTTTTCGCCGGCGAGGAATCCTCAAAAATATCTTCATCAAAACTCGAATTTTTTGAAGAACTCCTTGGTTTATATCTAGGAATAGGTTTAGGCCTATCTACAGTCTCTAAGTCATCAATGTCTCCTTTTAAAACGACCGAGCTCTTGTTGTTTGAATCATTTGGACGAGTCGTTTGGTAAGAAGGAAGTGCTCCCTTTGTTAGATCAGAGTCTCTGGTCTCCAAGATATTTCCAGAATTTGAGTTTTTTCTTAAAATAAATCCCCTTCCATCAACGCTAACCTTTGAAGCTGTTTGCCCTCTATTAGTTGAGTGTCCGTTTGTTTCAGGAGTTATATTTTTCAAGCCTTCGTGGTAAGGTTTTGACAAAGTGGTTTCGCCATTTTGGAGCACACCGTCTTTCGTGACAACACTGTGCTGATCTTTGGAGCGAAAGCAGTTCGAACATTTTCCTTTTTTCCACAAATTCTCAGCATAGTTAGAACAACCAGACATTACTGAATGTCTTCCTGTGTAATAGCATCACATTTTAGGCTCGAATTTCCACATTAAACCCGACTCACTGAGCTCGACTACATCTCCTTTGACATATAAACACTATCCCCTGGAGGGGTGGGCTTGTGAGAGCGTTTGGAATGGAGGGTGAGGCCAAGTTTCCTTTGTTTTCGAACTGGCGATGCATTCGCGTTAAATTGACTTCCGGTACAATTTTTATCGTCTTAAAACTAAGTTTATAACACAAAATTAGCGCCATAAGCTTGAATTGCGCTCGGTGCAGAATTTTCACTAATCTTTTCCTGTATTTTCATGTCATATGGTTACAACAATGTAAATATACAAGCCATATCAGCTGTTTGACTCCTTATTAGCATATACATCAATGAATATCTTACTACAATATTTTCCATCAGTTATTTTCTGTGGATCGCGTAGTGTCATACCACAATTTCACACTGATGACATTGCATTGTTTGACTATAATTCTATTTAAGAATTTGAGTTACGAGGCATTTGATATTCGACTGTCGAAGAGCATAATACTCCCATATACTTAATTGACATTCATTCATTAACCATGTAAGCATACAATTGACATAAAATTAACTCATAATCCACTACCTAAAACCCCTCTTTAATAAAGAAACTGGAAAAAACAATATTTACACATGAGCCTGTTTCAAACAATTCGAATTGAAAACTGAAAGACCTGTTCGAATATTCATTTGAGAAAGTGAAAAATAGGATAAATAACCGGCTTATGTTCAGACTTATAGACGCTTTTGTGCGATGGCGTAATGACACGTAATAAAACGTTTAATATTACAGCAGTTTTTCCAATCAATTAATAATGAGAACAAGGCATGATATATAACCATATTCTCCATAGACCTACTGTTTTTTTAAAAAAACTAGTACATTTTTCCCTTCATGATTGGCTCTAGTATCAAGATCATTCGTATTTTCATAGTACTACGTTAATCATACATTGGTGGCTGTGTCTACTGGTAGAATGACCTCACACACACGAAGTTCCTACTGARTATTTGTCATAGCGCGGTTGATATCAATGCCTGATGAAGATCTGAATTATGTATAAACCACTTACTAAAAGTTACTCGGTGTATATATTTGTGCGCTGTTTCTAACCCCTCTCCCCTTGGAGAATACAGTTCTCCTCTCCCTACCCAGTCCTAATGATTCCATTAACTCACAAAATGAGATGAATCTAAATGATTTCGAGGACTTTGTTTTAACAATAATATTTTAAACATTTTTTTAATATTACACATGAGCATTTCAATATACTGACTAAGAAGGAGAAGAGATCTGACAAAAGAAGAAGATTTTTCATATTTTTCAAGCTTTAGCACGAGATGTATCGCACCCCATGCTTAAGTCCTAATTYGTCTAGTAGATAACGCTTACTAAAAGTTCCCAACATACATTGAGTCACAATATGACAGTTGCAAAGTACATTCAGAGGAGGAAGTGAGTTGTTGGTTGCGGGGGAGGACCTCATGGTTTTAACACTGAAGAAGACTCCCTGAGCTATGAAATCGACTGCGGGTTTGTTCAGCGAGACGAGAAGCAACAAATTCCTTGAGCTTCTTCGCGTGATATGCGCATGATGTCTGCTAGCAAAACTATGACTTCACCAACACCCTCGTCCTCTCCTTCCGTACCCCCTTAGGTCATGGGCCAATTCTCGCCCACACCCTACACTATTTTGTTTGTATCACGGGAGSAGCGGCAAGACAGAGAAATCATCACGAAGAGAGCATAAATACTGGAATTCTAGGAATTTTCAAAAAGATCCTTGATTCTGTTCAAAAAWACGTTTAAGATTGGTAAGGTATGACATCATATCCATAAATAGACCGCACCTAAGTGAACTACTTTTTTGACGTTAATTGAAACTGTATATTTGTATAACACGACGAATTTAACATAATTAAAGCAAGGTTCACCGATATAGAAAAGGCAGGTGTGGAYGGCCGCGTATCGAATTGTACGTTTGTCTATTTAAGTCAATGACATAGTTGCGGAAGTCCTGACCTGGAGGAGGATACCGCTTTTGCCCGCTATGGTTGGTGGGATAGACTACGAGTTTTACTCAATTACAGGCATAGCTGCCTTTGAGTTATTTTATTACAGACAAGAAAACAACGGACATTAATTGCAGTATTTACTACACTGTAGTTGAACACAATGTTGAACACAATGAAAACAGGAAAACATCAAGAAAAACTTTCGCTAAATGTTGCTGATTCACTTTCGGAAATCTCTTTCGTTGGTCTCTCCTTTACTATTGAAGAAGAAAGCTGCTTGTCTTGGCGACTAGAAGCATGTTGATTTCTCTTTGAGGGACTACTCTTTCTACCTCTTCTCTTTTTCTTTCTCTCTTCTCTCTTCTTTTCCTCTTTTTCGGTTTTGTTCTTTGGCTCATCAGTTTTGTTGTTTTGCTCGCTTTCGTCTTCCGTTTCTTGATCAACGGAATTTTGTATTTTACGTTGTTTTGCTATCTTTCGTTTTAATCTCAGTCTTTCTTCCATTTCAATCTCCTTCTTCTTTGCTTTTAGTTTTGCTTTTCTGCGAATTTCTCTTTCTTCTTCACTGTCAAGTTCAAAACTGCTTTCATCACTACTGGTATATTTTCTTCGTTTTTCTTTCGGGTGCTCTTCGTCTCTGTCTTTTTTCTTAGCATCACGTTTCTTTTTCCCTTTCTTTTTTGATTCTCTGTCTCCTTCCAATGACCTGTGTTTTCTCTTTCTCTTAGAAATCTTTCGTTCCCTTTCCTTTTCTTCATCAATGGCATGTTTTCGTCTCCACAGACAGATGGCAATTATAATCACTAACGGCACAACTCCAGATGGAATGCCAATGATRAGCTCTAGGGGAAGCGGTTCTTTGATTTCCTTTATTTCATCACAATCTAAAGTCCCTTTAAGAATCAAAAGGGAATTAATGTATGCGAAAAAACTATCTGTCAGACAATAAATCAGGATGGAATCTAAATGTATGCAGGAGCACGACAGCAGTTAAGGGTGAAACAATAAATTCACTTACTCCCTTCACAGCCAAAGAACCTAACTCTCATACATGCTGTAGAATCCAGTCTCTCTGGGTAAATGCGTAGATACCGAGCTGTCATTGGTCCTGACAGCCACTGTATTTTGTTTCCGAGAAATGTGTATGAAATCTAAAAAGAAAGAATTCGTATTATACTAATGATACTAATGATATATACCATGTTGCTCTTTAGACATCCACCATTCACTGGTTTGAAATGAAAGTCAGTCATAAAAGACCCATGTAGGGAGAGGTGCGGCTCGACACCAAGGACAGATCACGAGGTTTTGAAAGCTTGTAACTCACCCACTCACGTTGAGCTTTTGCATGTGTCAAAGAACGGTTTACTCATTGTTATGATGTAAATTTTATGCATGCGACTTCGACTGCACTCGGCGCGCAACGATAATTAATCCGAAGTATAAACGAATATGAACCGAGTGTAACGAACGATTATCGACAAGTCGAATGGTTCGTTAGTAGTAGTATTATTTAGTTGAATGCCACATACCCGTGAAATRTTGTGTTTAAGTTTAAATCTCTTCCAAGAGCTTTTGTCAAGGCTGTATTTGATGGAATAATGCTGGATTTCAACAGCTTTAGAATCTGWTAGTGGTTCATTRCGAAAAGCACCAATCGTTGACAGGGATTGGAATTCGACGTTAAAGTAGAAAGCATAAGGATCCAACTCATCTGTACACCACAATCCTAAAACATGAAACCATGTTGTTAAAGCAGAACTGCTGCATGATCAATTGACATTTATTTTGGGTAATATTTTAACAGTTTACATCTCAGTAAAGACATGAAAGAAGCTAATAAAGACAGTTTTAAAACGTTTTAGAGTTTCGAAAACAAGAGAAAAAAAAGGAAAAACAAATT